CCAGCCTAGCATTTTTTTAACGTTACATTTCAAAAACAAATATACATGTATCGTATAAGTGACGTTAAATATAGAAAGGTTTCACAGAGCTTGATAATGCCGAAATAAATGTGTTATATGCAATATAATTATGTAATATTCATTTATATATTTTATGCATATTTTAAAATACTGTCTCATGTGGTGAAAGTTTATTCATATAATGTGGGCTGATTCTTTTGTACAATAATAGCTACAAATAATTTATGTTTCAGTCAGTGACAAGTTAACCTACGAGAAAGCGTGGTGCTTGTGCAATCTATGTGTGAATTTATTTTATTTTGGGATTATCGATATTGGAGATACAATTCACCCAAGCAACACGAGAATTCATTAAGAACAAAGGGGTAAGGGATTTTTGAGGTGCCGCGTTATTAGTAATAATTAGGTTAGGTGATACCTTGTTATCGTAAATGATAGATCTAAAGTGCTTACCGCAGTAAATAAGTTATAAGGTGAATTATATTTGTAATGGTGCTACCATGTTGTTTATAAATAGGGTGCAGCTATTTAAGAAATTATTATACTCCTTTCTGCTGTCGTCAATTTCTGTGAAACTGGACTACATTTGACGCCGCTTCTACCGTAGACGTATATTTGAATTTGAAATGTAACATTCAAAAAAGTACCAGGATGTATTTACAAAAATTTCTTGCATACGATACTGACATTATTTAATTTCTGACAATGATAGATACGACCGAAAATACTAAAAAATGAAATGTATGTTTCGATGTTTTATTCATACTTTTCAACCGGATGGCAACAACAGGCAGACCTTAATACACTTCTTATATATATATATATATATATATATATATATATATATATATATATATATATATGAACAGGGTGTTTTAAGGTCTGCCTGTTTAGTTTTGGGGGAAATTTATATGCCTCAAAACAATTCACAAGATCTAACAAATGATCAAACATATTTGAAATCAGATCTTAATAGTGCTGAGGAAATTTCAGTATCCTTTCGAAAATATGTGCTTTTAAATTAGCGTATACAGATAAACTGATCTATCTATCTATCTATCTATCTATCTATCTATCTATATATATATATATATATATATATATATATATATATGTCACTTGTTCTAAAGATAGATTGAAGAAAGGTCAGGTTGCTATGCAGTATTTATTCCACAATGTTTATAACTATAAACATTATATCTCCGATATATCTTTCCCTATAAATATTGCAAATTTTAAACAATATATATATATATGTGTGTGTGTGTGTGTGTGTGTGTGAAGAGAGAGAAGGAGAATTGGAGTATAACACTTTGATGGAACGCATATTCTATTTGTCCATGTCTGTGTGTGTGTGTGTATATATATATATATGTGTGTGTGTGTGTGTGTGTGTGTGTGTGTGCATTTGGGCAGCAGCCGTTTTTATAAATCTTTCAAAAAATACGGCCGACGAAGAAGATTTAATTAATCATTAAGTTTTTACAGCATTCTTATGTTTTTCCATTTCGTAAGAGTATTTTTTATTCCCACTTTTATAGCCAATTTCAAGGGTGTTTCGTCTTTGGTGTTATTTATTCTTCATGTTTTGACTGTTATGTTGCAATTTATTTTTGTGTTCATTTGAATGGGAGCGTTCATTCCGAGCCTTCATGTGTTGTCCGCGGGTAGAATTCGCTTTAGGATATTTCTATTAAAAAAAATGCTTTTAGCACTCCATTTCTACTGTTAAATAATGTGAGGTTGATAGTAGGAGAGAAATATTTTATATACTGGGCCTCTCTAATAGCAAGATGTTTCTGATAATGTGATTTATATAGAATTCTGGTGTTTTCAACCAGAATTTTTCTCAAAGTTTCTTGTAAATTATGGGTGGATAGATTTCTTTTTATAGAATGTTGGTCTGATAAGTGACACATGTGACCTCTACTCAAGGAGGATGTATTCTCTATTGTCTAAATTAGCAAGACAGATGAATTAATCAGGACAAGCGACAAAGTTCGAACCGCTACTTGTGTTTTACCCTACTGCGATCGTCAGATGAACAGAACGCATATAATTTATACATATATATATATATATATATATATATATATATATATATATATATATATATATGTTGATGACGTGCTGCTGTATTTTTATTACGGGCGCCGTGTTTGTTTTGTAAAAATAATTTTATTGGCCTATCAATGATGTAGTTGTGAAAATTATTGTTGACTGGTGTTTGTCTTATGGGTCGCAACTACATCATTTATGAACAAATAAAATTATTCTTACATATATATATATATATATATATATATATATATATATATATGTGTGTGTGTGTGTGGGGCATATCCAAACCCAGTATAAACCAACTAGAATTATAATACACAAACACACAAGAATTATACGCAAAAATGCTACCAGAGAAGGTAAATCCACGTGAGGTCTACTTAAGCAAAATAAAAACAAACAATAAAAAATGTTAAAAAATGCCAGAACTTTCTATTCCATATTTCATTTCTGATGAAGCATAAATAAAAGCAAATCATTTTACATTTATAAACGTTTTATCTTTGTTCCATATCCTGTTTATTCTGTCGGATTATAATACATATTTGATCCCAATTCGATTAATGGCTAGCTAAATCAATTACGGATGAGTAGTGAGTTCGGTCCTCACTGGGTACCTCGTGGTTTCAGCCTTGTACCATATCTAAACTACGCTTAGTAAATCACCATATTTTATACCAATTATGTATATATATATATATATATATATATATATATATATATATATATATATATATATATATATATATATATATATATATCTATATATCTGTAGTAAAGGGTACCACGAAATTTTGATGGATGTTTGATCAAGCAATTTGTTTCAGAAAATATATTTATATATGGTTATGTGTATTACTTTCTTCTCTCTAATGTACGTATGTGTATGTGCATGTATGTATATTAAAAAATATATATATTTAAAAACTTTCTAACTTCCTTTTAAGTAAGATTTTACTTTACCTTATTGTATTTTACAATTATATGATATAGAAACACTAAAATGAATTCTTCTTTCTGAAATCTCTGAAAATGCAATTCCACTCGCTAAGTAAATAAAATATTCCTTATTAGAGGCACATTTTTAATTATGCGTTTACAACGTGAACTGGTGAAAAAACGTGGTGTAACGTCGAAAAACAAATACTCTTAGATTTTGAAAAAAAATTATGTTACGTCTAAGAACATTTTCTTATGCTGCCACGAATATACGTATAAATCCGTGTCATTGTACACATTCACAAATGCATGTATATGGATATACTTGTGTGTGTGTGTGCAGAGACATGCATGCACACATAATAGGAATTGCACACTACTCGGCAAGTAGCTTCATAAACTCCTCAAACGAAGTGTGCACATTTTTTTTTTACATTCTAAATCCCCATAAACCTTTTAAAGTGGATTAGGAAGACGATATAACAACAATGAGACAAAATAAAACATTGACGATGAAGGAAAAAGAGTGGGAACGCGATGGAAAAAGAAAAAGTAAAGAGGATAACACACACACAAAAACGAAATTAAATCTTTTTAAGTCAACAAAATCTGATTAGAAAAGGCTTTAAAAAATACGAAAAGATATTGTAAAAAACAGTAACAAGAAAATGGTTTAAAAAGTAAATTTGATAAGAATAAAAATGATAACGTTTACGAAATAAATGCAAAGAACTGAAACGAAAAACCATAACAAATTTTTAATTCATAATATTAATTGAGAATATAAAACATTATCTTCTCTCCTACTCACTACCAAGTTTTCTAATAATAATAATAATAATAATAAAATAATAATAATAATAATAATATAACGAATAAATAGATTATATTGATAAGTGTCGCAAGCTGAGAACTTTTCAGCAGCCCCTCATATGCATGCGTATTTAGAGATAGACTTACCATGTGCGCACAAAATGTAAAACAATAGCTAATATCCTAATATAGCTAGTGGGGCAATCCTCGAGATCGACACATATTTAGACAGGAAGACAAACAGGTAAACATAACAATATATATATATATATATATATATATATATATATATATATATATATATATATATATATATATGTGTATATGTGTGTGTGTGTGTGTGTGTGTAATTCTATGTAATTTTCTCTGTTTTTCTCTCTCTCTCTCTCTCTCTCTCTCTCTCTCTCTCTCTCTCTCTCCTTTATCATCCCTATCATTCCCGACGCATCTATCCATAAAACTTTCATTTTCGCTGCCAGAATCAATCTCACTCTTCCCGCGAGAGCTGTGTCCGGGATTTCGCACTGAAATGTTTTTCATGGGATTACAAGTCAATTATAGAAATCCTAGAGATTTACAATAATCGCATCAGGATAAGTGGCAATGCCGGTCGTCTTGACAAATAAACATGTGTCCTTTCTACTGGTATGGCAAAAACGGGCAGAGGGACAAAGAAACGAAAGAAAAAAAACATGGTGCAAATGATTTTATGCCAATTGAAAAGGTTTTATTTGTAGTTCGAGGAGAGTCAAAGTTCAATATGGCGGGTTCTATGACATGTTCAGATTTCTTATACTTGAAAATGAGGGGAAAATGTTGGAAGTGTAAGTAAAAATAGGCAATAAATCTATCTTTTATTTTTGCGAACCATTTCTAAGTTAATTTTTTCTCATTATCCAGGCTACTGTTTCTCTTTATCTATATTTCTCTCCTGATTTCTCTGACTCACTTCCATTTTAGATGACCACGGACTTTTTTTTTTTAGAAAAACCTTTATCTATATTGTTGTTGTTGTTGTTGTTGTTGTTGTTGTTGTTGTTCTTCTTCTTCTTCTTCTTCTTCTTCTTCTCGCTCTTTCCTGTCCATTCCTTTTTTCTTTCATTTGATTCCTTTTTACAACGCCCCCACACTAATTGTTCTTCTCATTTCCAGAGATGTATCTATAGTTAACACGATTGATTAATCTGTTCTTACTTGCTCTTTCTCCCTCCTTTTTGCCTATCTATCTATCTATCTATCTATCTATCTATCTATCTATCTATCTATCTATCTATCTAGGTTGTTCCTATATGTCTATCTATCTCCATGATTCACTAGCTTCGTACCATCATTTATCTTGAGTTAAATGTTCTTCATTACCCCTTTACCCCTTACGAGCAGGACACATTCTTAGATTTTCTAATGCCATTTGGTCAATTAAAATTATTTTTGTTTTTTCTTACATTTTTTCTCGTAATTTTCAAGTCTTTTATTTAAATCTAATATTGTCCAATTAAATCGTTTTTCTCACACAGCGGTAACGTAATGTCTTCAGCATGTGTTTTCATAGATCTTTTAATGATTTCTAACAGTAAAACATTGATTTAGTAACCTTCGACAGTTTATTGAACATTATTAACATTCATTTTGTGTACGCTTCTTTTTATTTAATGTCACTAAAGTATATTGTTCTGCATCCGAGTCGTGTGCATTTTAGTATGTGGAATTTTTTTATTTTCTATGTACTCACGATTGTACTACTGATGTCATTTAGAGAAAAATCACATCATTTTCTCGCTTGTGCGAAGTCAGACATTTTGGATAACTTACTCTGCTTCGTAAACAGGCAAGGATGTTTTTGACAATTAAAATAAGTTAAATAATTTTCCGAATGATCTCATGTTAATTTTCTTGTCGAGAGCTGTAATCATCAAAAGAATGTTAAGTTATATGCCAAAGATATATATGGTCCACTTAAATTCATCGATAAAAGGTCAATATAATCTCCGTTAAATCAACTGAAGGGCTAACGACATAAATCAAAGAAGCCAAACATTTGATTAACATGTTCAAGTTCAGACTCGAAAAATATTCAGTCAATTTAAGTGATGAATGAATGAATGAAAAGAAATGTGAATCCAGATATTGACTGGACTCAAAGGGTAATTTAAAAAAACCTTTCTGCTTCAAATATGGATTTTTTAAAATAATTTCATCCCAAGCAAGATGATAATGCCACTAAATGTAGTGGGCTGCTGGGAGTGAATAAGAATGAGAAAACTTTACAAGGAACCGGAAACGCAAACAGGAAACAATGGTCAAACCTCTACTCCTATTCATAAAACGGAAATGGTGCATGAACCGAGCGATAGTCATTTTATATAGGTAATAGCTATTCTTCTGTGGATTTTGGATTGCATTTTTGAAAATAACTCGAATTTATAAATACCGTGACACACAAACAAACACACACCTACACCTTGAAAGCCCTTGAAATCATCATAAACGAAATTATACTTGAACATAACGTACATATAAAATAGTTCTTGTCTACACGAATATAGAAACACCATCATCATCATCATCATCATCATCATCAGCATCATCATCCTAAATTAAACAATACGTTCCTTCGCATCCCGACTTTCCATCAATGTTAACTCTCCTTCCCCAAACATTTTTGTGCAATTCCCGATCAGAACATCCACGGATTATAAGAATGCCTAACTTCCAAGGATTTTTCTCTCCTCTTCATATATTTTCCACTTCCATTTCTTTTTCCGCTTTTCTTTTTCTTTTGATTTAACTCATTCTTCTAATTTTTATCACAGTTCATTGCTTCTTTTTTTAATCTTCTTCATCTTCAGCTTATTTTCTTTCTTTCTCCGACCCGTTCGTTCTTCCTTCCTTTTCTAATCCTTTTAAGTGAACGGCAATCATTCGGAACAACGGCGGTTGTTAATAAACCATTTCAATCGATAATCACTTTCGTGTTTCAATTTCATTCCAGTATTTTTTAAAATGAAACCTGAAATGGTTCGCCCACAAAGAAGAAATGAAAGAAGCAGAAATCAAGAATGGAAGAAGTTTAGAGTGGAATGAAGATGAAAGTGAATTTAAAGAATGAAGGACGAAGAAATGTAAAAGAAAAAAGAAAGAAAAAGTAAAGAAAAGTAAAGAAAAAAAATGTTAAAAAAAAGGATTAAATAAGAAGAATTTTGAATTTAGGAAGAAATATGGATAAATAATGATGCTTGGAAACACATATGCCTACGTTTTGGATGGAATATAATAAGACAAGGCAGAAGAAAATGGAAGCAGAATTGTTGAAGTAGAAAGAGTCAAGGAAAGAATTATATCAAAGGCAGAATGAAATACAAGTGAGAAAAAGGGCGGAATGAGATGAAAGAAAGAAAGAAAGAAAGAAACTGGAAATGTATTCGGATAATTGCAAAAAAGTTTCTTATTTTCAATCATCTCGATACACAAAGGAAGATGGCACGAAGCAAAAGAATAAAAACAAAGTCAAAAAATATCCCTGAAGATGGGGGGGGGGTGAAAGTGTTGAAAAATACAAAAATCAATGATAGAATATATTGATGAGAAAAAATGAAAAGTAAAAAAGAAAGAGTAAATTTGCTAAACTAGGCAAAAGAAAGAGTCAAAGAGGAAATGGATGAAAAAGAAAATAAAAACAATTTTAACTCCTTGAATATTCGTTTTGTTCTTTGTTTTTCTGTCCTACATGCATTTTTCAATTTTTACTCGTAATGGCTTCCTAATTGGCTTCATCTCGAGTAAATTTGAAAAAAGAAATTGTAAATTGTTTACAAAGAAGAAGCGAAGAGCCTTTTACTTCAAGCCTTGCTTCTTCTGTTTATTCATAAACGATTTCTAACTTCTTTATTTTTCTTTATTTTCTTTCTAAATACGCGTCTAAGATATTGGGTCATAGTTTCTAAATGCATATTTTTGTTTCTTTATGGACTGCTTCATAGTTATGTGCAAACTAAAGCTAAGCATAAAGTGCACATTGTTCAGAACTGATAGTAATGCTTAGATGGCAAGTAGTCAAAAATAAATCTAAGTTTCAAATCGAAAACCTTTTGTGTGGAAATGACAATTCATACCAAGAGAAATATATATTTCTATATATATTAAATAATGCAAATAAATTTCAAAAGTAGGATTTAAAAATGTTTTATGCTTATAATTACAGATATTATAACAATACCAGCGTGATATTTATAAAATTTCACGAATAAATGGGAAAGTTACAAGTAAAGGAAAAAATCTGATCATATCCGTATAAAATAGATTTCTGATCCTGATGCTTTACAATTGTATATTAAATCAGACACCACCGATGCATATATAAATTTATGTTGATAGAGACATATAAATCACTAGTATTGAATCATCTCCAAGATTAAAAAAAAACTCATTAAAATATAGTTCGCCAGTACATATCACTTAATAATTGCAACACACAGCGAAGATTTCTTCGTTTACTGTAAAATGTTTAAAATATCAAACCAAATCATTAAACTCGGACTTTGGAAATGCTTTTTTCGATAATAACAATACTTTTTATGAATTCTTGTGTCATTTGAGAAACTGCATCGCTAATATCATTAAAACAACTTTAAATTCGCACATTAATTACACGAAGATAATCCAGAGGATTTACTTATCACTTATTGAAACTTTGTGAAATTCGTACATATATTAATAACATCACAACCAATAATTGATTTCAAGCAAATTAGTAGATAATACAAGAATAAGCAAATTAGTAGATAATACAAGAATAAGCAAATTAGTAGATAATACAAGAATGAGATATAGACGCACTACAAAATAAGACGCAAAACACTCGAGTCTGCGAATGACAGAATCTTCAAACATAAAATGAAATATCGTTCACTCCATAAAATAGCACATGAAAATGTATGTAAAATACTTAAGTCTTATAATATATATGAAATATTTATTACATATGATGCGGTGTCATGGTCTTTTCCAAATCTGTAAACCATTTTACACGTAGTATCACATGTACAATATGTAAATTTGAAATGTACAGATTCCAGAAATGCTAGGTTTTGTCGCGATAACTGGTAACATTTAGTTCCTGGTAAAGTCTGAGACAGTCAAAAATAGAGCAAAAAGCATGTCCTTTGGCCAGTTTATCCACAATCTTGATCTTGATGAGCAACTTATTCGAAAACTGGAAAATACAATAAGAATTAAACAAACATAATTATATATATATATATATATATATATATATATATATATATATATATATATATATGTGTGTGTGTGTGTGTGTGTGTGTGTGTGTGTGTCTGTGTGTGTGTCTGTGTATGAATGAATTAAAAGACAAGAGGAAATAGAGAAAGCCGCTAAAAATATAGTACAGCAACAAAATAACATCATTATCCACAATAATAAATTAAACAAATATAGATACATAATACTACCTACTAATTCTATAACAGCCACTACATTGGTTAATAGTGCGGGGGAGTCATGTATAAAATAAATTGCCTAGAATGTTCTTCACATTGGGGAAACAAGCAGAATTAAAAAAAAAGACGTATCTTTGAACACAAATAGCCTTTATAAATAATAATTTTAGAAATGCACTAGTCATACACAGAAATAAATTCGACCACAATTTTGATCAAAATTACCACAACCATCGAAAGAGAAAGTAATTTGGTCAGAAGGAAAATCCTCGAGAGTGCCGCCATCGAATATTTTCAAAATATCAATGTAAGCCCCCGTTTTTTTCCCAGTCATACCTTTCCTGAAGGTATTACTACATTCCCAAGTCAACATATACAACAAGTGTGTTGAAAATTCAAAGGAAAACAGCTGAATTCATTCTTTCAACTTTTGGAATACAAACGTCCACCACATATTTCAATCCAAGTAACTTTTTCTTCTTTTTTCTTTTTGTTTTTCTTTCTTTTTTCTTCTTCGAGCATACAAAACGACGTATTCTGAGGTCTAAATGCCTAGACATGCCAGTTAACCTGTTATTGAGCGTCTTTAAATTTAAATATTTCATTTCAAGTATGCTATATGACGTAATCTAAGATCTGACTCTTAAATATTTTCTAGAAACTTGCTGAAGATTTATGAGTGTTCTTAAATTTGTAAATTTTGAGTAACTTTAAAATATATACTTTTTTGCAAAATAAAACCATCACATTCGCCTTCATAAAGTCTATCGAATGACGAAACGCGTCGGCTAAACTATGTATAATTTTCCTCTTGTGTTTTCATTCATTTTGTCTTTTCTACTGACATACTCCATCTGTGATGATTTACAAACACACACACACACACA